TGTGCACTAATACATCTTAACTCTTATTTTGACCAAGTGTGAAGAAAATATTCCATCTATTTGGAAAATTGGAAAGGAAACCCTTTATTTCTAATGCCCAAAAGCTTTTATGATTCAGGAAGGAAGACTCCACAACGCTGTTATGTGATAAGAAAGACAGAGACTACTGGAGTTCAAGATAATAACTACCTACTGAGTTGGACACATGTTCATTTAGCAGCAGTAAAAACAAAAGTAATAAAAAAAGAAGCTATGTCCAAAAATTTAGCACATGGCAATGGAGATTTTTGCAATGGAGATTTGAGCTAGAAGTATAGATATGCCATCATTCTGAAGGATATTTAGAGTTAACAGGCTATTATTCCCTTGAAATGGTTCCACAAAGTCAACCCAGGCTTCTTGGTCATGCCTTGTGTTGGCAGGTGGGGGAACTGCTGTTTTTTATGAGTTTTTACTAAGTCGTTGAGCACATACTATACTCCTTTACACACCTTGCCACGGCAGAGTCTATTTTAGATTGCCAAGGTTTCCAAGTAAAAGTCCTCATGTGAATAATTCCTAGATGAACTGTCGAGTGTGATCAGGATAGTAGAAAATTCCCTCTTACAATGTATTATTCATCTTTCTATAACATTTATATAGGGCTTACTTCGTGCCAGACTCTATTGTATTTGACAAATATTAATTCCCAAACCATGTAGAGTAAGTTTTTTTTCACTGTCCTCATTTCATAAATGAAGAAACTGGCCTGCAGAGAGGTTATTTGCCCGATGTCAAGTTAACTACAAATTTTCAGGGGTAGGATTTAAAACCAAGGAAGCCTGGCCTGGGGTCTAAGCCCTTATTCATTATGTTAGGCAGCTGTATTATCCAGAAAGATATAGAGGGCAAGAATGTGTATAAATACAATTGTATTATGACCTTAATTCTTCTGGAATTTTCTCACTGTTTCAAACCATTAAAAATAAAATACCTTAGTCTTGAAATTAATTTCTTAGTTTATTGACCTAAGAAAGAAAGAAGACCTATTTTAGGTCTTCTAAAATCCATATTTACTCCGCAGAATAATTTCACACATACAGGCCTACATGCAATGACATGCTGGTAAAGTTTAACGATCAGGACAGAGAGAGAAAGAAAGAGAGAGAACAAGAGAGACAGACAGACAGACAGAGAGAGAGAGAGAGAGAGAGAGAGAGTGACTTAATTATTGGTTCTTATGAGCCCATATGAGCTGGTCTCAGCACACTGCTACTTATGTGGCTTAAGATATAAGATTTTAAAATGTTTTTATGCCTCATTGATAGATATGGAATCATATGGGCACTTTTACATAGTGACATAGTTAAAACTGTGACTTTAAATACAAATACCAAACAGATAAAAAATGTTAAAACTCAGTATTCAAAGACAAATTAATATGCCATACTATTTTTTACATATCCAATTGTCAAAGACTAAAATAATTAAAAATTCATTGTTGGTAAGAATGTGTGGAAACAGACACTCTCTTATTTTTTCTGTTGGGTTTCACCCTGACACTGATGATAATGAATATTCTCCAACTGCCTTTGCCTCTTTGCATTATTTCCTCATCATTCAAAGCCCCAGGCAGAAGAATCTGATTGGCTGATTCTGAATTATTTGCTTCTTACCTGCTTGGAAACAGGAAAAATATCACATTTTGTCCTCCTTTGCTGTGGTGGTGGAAGGCAGAGTATTGCCACCCACCAAGACCACACAATAGAGATTTCCTTAGAATAAATTCAGAATTTGGATAGAAAAAGAATCCTTTATAACACAGATGCCTTTGAAATAAGGACGGGGGTGAGAGGTGGAAATTGCTATTCTTAATTATATATATAGTTAATCTGGCACCATGGAATCTCTCTTCTCCCTCTAGGTAATGAAGTAATTCAGTAAGAAAATGTACAGGTAAGACCATAGAAATGAAATATATAGGAAAACAATATACTTAACTTCATAGTGCTTGTAACCTAAATGGAGGAGGCAGATAATAAACCAAATATTCAAATAACCAAGTAATATGTCAGGGGTAGTTGGTGCCATGGAGAAGAGTAAAGCAGGTAAGAGAATAGGGAGTACTTAGGTGGAGGTGCTGGGCATGTTTTTGTTTTTGTTGGAGGCATGAGAGGGAAAATCCAGGTGAATCCAAGAGAATTCTTGGAAAGAAAAAAGGACAGCGTAGGATCTTTATGTTACCTCTGTGCAAATTACCTGGGTTCTTTTTTTTTCTTTTTCTTTTTTTTTACTTATCTAACACTTCGAAATATGATCTTTAGACTTTCAGCTAGTATCTAAAAGAAAGACAACTAGAGACAAGACCACAGGAATTAAGCAAGGAAGATATGTTAATTAGAACCATTTGGCTGCAAGTAACAGAAACCTACTAACTTCAACTTAAGTATAATACTGAAAAATTTAGTAATAGAATGCTGAACAGTCTCGATGCAAAAATTTAGCTGAGCTATAGTCTAAATTACTGTGGAGAATCTCAAGAGTCTTCTCTTTCCGTCTGTTTCTGCTTCTTATGGCATTTCGCTGTAGTTTCACTTTTTTTTGTATCCCATGAAACACAATAAAAAATGGACAGTGTAAACAGCTTCAAAGCTGACATTTTTATTATACAGGAAAGCATTCGAACAGACTCATCTGTGTAGACCTCTTCCTATGAGAGCATTCTGATAGACCTGGCTTATGCCAGGTGTCTACCTCTGGACCAATCATCTGTGGCCAGGTGATAGGGTCACGTTTTATGAATATGCTTCTTGGTTTTACCACCTCTGGATGGCCTGTGGCTAGTTCCCAGAAAAACTGGCAAGAACATCTTAGAGGAAGTAAAACAACAGATTTCTACCAAACAGAAACAATGAGGCAATGTTATAAGATGTAGAATTGGGATAGTCTTGCACAAATTTCTGTTATTTTCTGAACTTTCATTTTCTTAAAATAGAAAAGTCAGCTTAACTTGGTCAAACGCACCAAGTCATTACGATAATCTAGTTCAGACCTAGGGCATTTCAAGCATAGTCCATTTATTCAACAAGCACAAACTGAATACTACTGTGTTCCAGATATAGCTTAGTGTTGGTTTTACTGCAAAGCCACTGAAAATGAAAGTATGGGTGAAGATTTGGGTGGTAATAGTGAATGCAAATTTTTCTGTATTGTTTTATTTTTATTTTTTGTTTTAAACAAGGTTCTCTTGCTCTAATGCCATTTGGAACTGAAAGATCAGTGACAAACTCAGGGGTAATAATTACCAGGCTTTCTCCTCAGCATGTGTTCTGCCTCTATTGCTGTTATTTCAGAAACTGTGGTGAACACATGAGCACAATGGACTGCGGCTCGCTCCATGCAATACCGATGATAAATCTGCCTTTCCCCAGCCTCTTTGTCTATGTTAAACTGTTAAAA